AAAAAAAACGCTCGAATATTGGTGAGCGAAATCAACGTCGCAATCGTGCATTTGTAAACACGCACACGCTTCGAGACAACAAACCATTCTTAGTCGCAGTGATATTGTAGGCATTGTTACAAGGAAGAAAAAAAAAGATTCATTATCAGTTTCATTGACGAGATCATCCGGTGGACGGTTCCATTCCTGTATTGTTTTTACGAAAAAAGAACTACCGAAAGAGTGGGTTTTGTAGCGGTATTCTAATATTTTTCGTGAATGGTCTTGACGATTAGAGACATACGTTGGTGTGAACAGATAATCGAGAGGGTTAATAGCATTTCCATTATAATATATACAATCAAGAAATTTAAGCCTCAGTGTCTCCCATTTCAATGCTCGTTTCATTTCTGTGATGCTTGCAAAGGAATTATAGTTGTTGCTAACAATTCTGGCTGCTTGGTTTTGAACTTTTTCCAGTGCGTTAATCAAGTATTGCTGATGGCGATCCAAGATTACGGAAGCATAATCTAGAATAGGTCTTTCATACATGAGATAAAGGGTTTGTTTCACGGTCTATGAAGCTTGCCTAAAATTTCTGCGTATGAAGTATAGCATCCGACCTGCCTTGGCCACAGTTATGTCAATGTGTTTATTCCACTTGAAATTGTCGCAAAAATAGATGCCCAGATACTTATAAGAGGATTCATTGCTGATTATTGAATTATTTATTTTGTATGTTGTGTCTTGTTTACTAATCCGGTTGGTAATTGATACACAGCAACATTTACGGACGTTTAGACTCGTTTTTCATTTTTGGCACCACGTTGAAATTCGGTACAGATCATGCTGCAAAATTTCAGCATCCCTGTGCGATTTAATCACTCTAAACACTACACAATCATCTGCGAATAACTTAATGGGAGAGGTGATACCATCAACTATGCTATTAATATAAATCAGGGGTTTACTTAACAGTTTTTATTTATTTGCAGGATTTCAAGGTAAAGTAATGACAGCGCTCCTTTTTAAAAAGTGGGATAGCGATAAAACCCGTGCTTCAAAGGAGCTGAAGTAACTGCGCCACGAATTCATATCAAGTAGTGCAAACCAGTGTTCTTCAAAGTCATAGTATTTGTTTCTTCAAAAGTTCAGAAGCAGCAGATCATCGATTGTTTATCCGATGAGCGAGACTACTGTTCTGATAAAAACAAGCCAGAGCCGAGAATGAGCGTGACAGGCACACGGAGGTCCATTTGTGTTGATATAAACATCTCTGGTCACCACTGTTTACATTTTCACACAATTTCAACACGTTTACTTAGGAATTCCTACCTGAAAAACATGCTATTACTGTATTTCGAGGTGTGCATTATCGTTCATGTTGCATGACCTCAATACTTCCGGATACCGAAGTTTTTTCGTGAACCCAAAAACGATTGAGAGAATTTCGGTTTCGCTCCGAAACAAGATAGTAGGTATGGTTTCGGTTACATATTTGTTTCGGTGAAAATTTTTTTTGTTTCTCGTTTTCGGTTTTCGTTCCGTTCTGACACACTGCGCAACAGTTTCAAGTAGTCGTTAGGCTCAGTTAGAGTAATAAGTAAGAGCTGTGATGAAGCACACAAAAGGCTTTGATGCCTTTTGTGTGCCTTAGTATCACTTGCAACTACTATACTGCTGCTTATGAATATTCATTGTCATGTGCAACTATGACATTTCACCATGATTGTTCTCAGCTTGCACAATTGTGTTTTCTTACGTTCAGTGAATTAAAAATAGGTGCATGCAATAAATCAGTTATTCTTAAGAAAGGGAATGAAAACAACCACCCGTTTGTAGTGTGAACTTCCACAAGGAAATACCTACGGATTTCTCAGAAAGAAAAGCCGTTTAGTTGTCAAAAAATTTGCCCTGGTCAGGTGTTGGAACACGGGACCAACACCTTCCCTGGGTGGTGGCTTTACTAATGGAGCTAAAGAAGAAGCTAGTGATTGAAAGCACGAGGGTGAATTCATTGATAACTCGAAGCACATGGACACAAGCAATGCAAATGAGTTTTTCGGAAACCGGCAGTGTGGTGGAAAGGGTTAAGAAAGGGAAGAAAGTTGTTGATGAATTCGCTCTCTAGCGGTCGATTGCTAGCGTCCTGGTTAGCTCAATTGGCAGAGCGACCATCCCAGAAAAGGGTTGGTCTTGGGTTTAAACCCCGAACCGGGACGAACTTTTTGGGAACTAGGAGGCTCATCTTTCTGAGAAATACGCACGGGTTTTCTTGTGGCTTCGTGCCACAAATGGGTGGTTGTCTTCTTTTCCTTCGTTAAGTTGGTCTTACGTATAAACTTTCCTTCAAAAGTCCTTAAAAGGTGTAGGGGGAGTGTTCTCCCCAATTAGACATCTTATATACCGGGACACGTGGTACTCCAGGTCAGGCTGAAACATGATAGCATTTTATTGCGTACCTCACCCACAGAGTTGCTGAATAGCACTCGCATATTGTCCTAGAAGTATCTTAAGCCCCCAAGAGCATAAATCTCGTATATTATGTATTGACAAAATACGAGGTAAGAAAGGTGGAGGGGGCCATACTTGGGGCGCCTTTTTTTTTTGTCGATGTTGGCCTTATTCATAGATAAAAAGTTATCCTCATCATGAACCAACATGTGCTCTCTTCAATCACTTCTTCCCCTTCTGCTTTGCTACCGGAACACGCGTGCCTATTTGTCTGGCGTGGGATGCATTAACTCGCATCGGTGAGAGAATGAGCACAGAGAGATAGAGAAAGAGGTAGAATTCTTGGCCAAAAAAAAATTCTTTGCAAGGCGAGACTCGAACCCGTGTACCCATAATCTGGCGCCGAGCGTCGTAAAAACCAGGCTTTCAAAGTATGCTAGCGGAACATAGCATAGCCTTGTCATTTAGCCAAGAAGTGGGAAGGGAATTGAGGGTGAGGACAAACCTGAAGGTGACACTGCAAAAGGGGAGGGAGGAGCGAGAAAGTAAAGCATAGCACACAAAGAGAAATAAGGAAAGAGAAAGTGCAAGGAAGAAAAGAGTAGAAATACACAGATACAGCAAAGGAAAAAAGATCGAGCATAATCATGCAATGTATAGCGCATAGCGAGGGGTGGGAAAGAGAGAGGTGAGAGTATAAAAGACTAGCCAAGGGAGGACCTGCTAGGCGCTGACCAGCTCTGCCGGGAACCAGCCTTGAGCGACTTACTGCGCCAACTTTCTTTTTCATCATAAGAACAGTGCAAGAAGCGAGAGACAACCACACGTGAGTGAAAGGGCAACAGCCTTTCTTTTTATACCCGAGTAATCGTCATGAGGATTTAGTTGTCTTTTTTTTCTCGAAAACTGTACGCTTGCTTCTTCCTTATATACTAATGCCATATTAAACCAAGAGCATGTGCACTGTTCATGACGTGTGTAACTATGCTACTTACGGCAATGCTTGAAAGGCTTAAGAGATAGGCGATATTTTTGTGTAGTAGAAATATGCCCCTCGTTGAGTGTAAGACTGTGGGTGTGTGAGGGTTCAGGGTGCTTATTTGGGGACAAAGGGGCAAGATAAGCCCGCTAAAGTATAGGCTGTTATTAAGAATGCATTCCTTATGGAAAATTTGCCTAAAGAGAAAATAAGGACAGAAGATTCGGAACAATAAAAAGTTTATTTGGGTACAGATAGGCCCATCAGAGTGCAAACATTTATTAATGCACAGTTGCCTGATCGCTTTTGCGCTCAGAGTGAAATTACAATAAGGAGCCCTCTCTTGTTTTAAGCCTAAGGAATTGTGTCCAGACCGAAGGTGAAGCCGCTCGCTGCACCACTTGCGAAACACGACAGTTCGTCTTCTAGGGCAAATAAACGTAGTACGCAGGCGCCAAAGCACTGGGATGCACGCTTCGATGGCTGATGTCGTGCCATAATGAGACTCACAAGAATCACGTGACAGTGATCACATGTTGCGCGTGCTCTGTCGTCAGATGTGAGTATCTCTAAGTGCTCTCGCAGAACTAGCTGACCATATTCCAAGCATACAATTTCGACCAGCCAGTTTTGAAACGGTGTGCTGTCGGAAAGCATATAAATGTAAAAGCTTTCTTCGGAATGTATATTGAGCACATCTCTCTTCCTTCACTAACAGGGAGGACATAAAAATTTAGTAGCGATAACACACCGTCACCTACTATTATAACATTGCAATGGCATTCCCGTGACACTTACGTTATGTACTTTTGCATTATATAATTGGCCCTGCTCTGCAAATCTCAGCCAGCACGTCAGCAGGCCATTCTTTCATAAAGACGTTATCACCGCATTTTGGTGTCCATCTGTGAGAACTCGCTCTTGCGTGCGTGAAGCTCTCTTGATTGACCAAGCTATGCAATAACAACGAGCTTCTTGGGGCAGCCTCAGAGGCTGCATTTGCATGAATCGGTCAGTCATTCAGTAAAACCTGTGGTCTAATGCTGCCCTTCGTGCATGAAATGCAAGAATGACAATTTATGAAGTGTTAGCATTTATCTTCCAGAAATAATACAGCATATACCTTTACCCTCTTCAAAACAATCAACCCATAGTAAATATAATTCACCAGAAAACACACTATGACCCATGGTTCACTGTTCTAATCCATTAGCAAACAAACATTTTTCTGTATTTCAGTTATGCACAGATGCCACCTTTGATTACAAAGCAGCTATTAGATTACGGTTGGCGACTCCAAACTAACTCTTCTCACATACGCCAACACAGGACTATGGCCGGTCACAGCATCACTGGAACTCTACTGATCTAGTGTTCCAGTAGAGTTGCAGTGATATTGGTACTGCTATGACTACGTTACTGACTAGCCGTATACAGTCCTGTACACTTTCGTGCCAGTTTTGCCTCACCTTCAGCCGGCTTTGGTCGTTCCGTTCATGTCGGACAAACAGTGTCGGAATCAACTGAACAAGGAAATGTGGAGAAGTGCCATTGAATGATTTAGCGCTGTTTGTTCGAGCAATTCCTGTCAACGAGTACAAAGCTTTATTGCGGCATTATTCCGACTTGAAATGAACATTTTCCGCCTTTAGGTGGCGCCGTCAGTTCCTAGCGCACGACGAAATCCTTCGACGAAATCACTTCGCTCCTCTCTCGTGCGTTCTCCGAAGGTGACGGTTGAGCGAGCATCGCTGCTAGAACACCTGCGGACACAGGTGGCACTCGAAGGGCTTCGCTCCGGAGTGCGTCAGATTGTGGGCCATGAGGTTCCCTTTGAGAGAGAAGTGGCGGCCGCACACGGTGCACGAGAACGGCCTGTGACCCGTGTGCGTCACCAGGTGGCGTCGCACGGCCGAGCGGCTGCTGAAGATTCGCTCGCACACTCCGCACACCCGGGAGCTTATGCCCCGCCGCCTGCGCTTGGGTTTTGGCGGTGGCGTCACGGGCCTGCCGGTGGCTGCCCTATAATAGGATAGTACAGGGGTATTACATTACAAATTAAGGATTAAAAGTGGCTCAAGAGATTGTTTATTCGAGTAATTTTATCCAGCCAGACTGATCTCTGCCAAATATTTACCCTTAAGGATGTAAAGGGTATGCAGCAACGCTGTTCTACCGCTCCGGAGCAGCAGTACACGTATGCTAGCTTGACAACTTAGCACATCGCTTCATTTGAATTGTAGTGCTAAATGGCAATTGTAGTGCAATATGTGGCGTTGCTACTGGCATATAATTTGAAAAAAAAAAAAAACCTGGCCGTATGCTTCGAGACCTGTTTAGCTCTTCGGCTACTAAGCTACTTTTTAGTCGTCACCCTCTCTATCGTTGTTACCTTTCCTGTTAAGGAAAACAATGCATTAACAAGAACAGTCACCCCTGAATTAGAGACCGAATGAGTCTTGAAACATAGCGCCAGTTTTAAGATAAATAATTGAGACTAAACTTGGCTAAAAATCTGTTTGTTATACTATAGAAATACTCCCCGCGGGGCAATGTGGTCGCCCTCAAACTTTATAAGAGGTATTCACCAAGCTCTTCCCGCCAGATGGCGCCAGCGAGGGCGCCGCCATAGCCGTGGTCCGTCAGCGATCTAGCACATGACAGCGTTACTTTTCTCGTCGCTGCACCTCACTAACCCGTTTTCTTAGAAAAAATGTCAACGTTGCACGTGCCGTGGAGAACTTTGGTTTTGAGACCGTCGAAAATGTTCGCCCGCGAGACCACACGTACCGCAGCTGCCGCGCTAGCGCCCCCTGCAGATGACGTCGACAGCGACGTCAAGAATGTGCCTGGAGTGGCGGTACTGTTTCTATCGCAATGAAATAAACAAAAACAAATGTTCACCCTGTGTCGCTTTCCGCGCCGCCCGCATCTTCGGAATCGCTGACGTCGTTTTTCTCGGCATCCACATTGCTGCTGCTGGACGCCGTGGTAGACGCCGCGGTTGAAGCCTTCGCTTTGCGGGCCATATGTTTTGCACAGGTAAATAAAGGGGATGTGGGCGACCGTGCTGAAGGAACGCCAATGAAAAATATGTGGCTTCAGCCTGCGAAAACGAGAAGCAAAAGACGATGTCAAGATGAGCTACGGGCTGTCCAGAAGGTCCACGGTGTCGCCATAAGGCTTGGCCTGAAGGTATACTGACGTGGACGTGGTCCACTTGGGTCTAAAAAGACCGGGCTTCAGGACACTAATGAGGTTTTGTAAATGAATGGATGAACACTTGCTGTTGTTCGACACGCTGTTTTAAGAGGCCCACAGATTTATTTCCTCCACCTGGGATAACAGTCTTGACCTCCTTTATCGCCGCCGAGTGTGGCTTAGCGGCCAACCTGTCGCGCTGCTCAGATCGAAGACACGGTAGGGATATTTCAATGAAGCTGGGTGAAATACCCCCCCCCCCCCCCCTAAAAGAATGAAAAGTGTATTTAGATTCAGGTGCATGTTAAAGAATTCTGGTTGCTTACTATTGAACCGGAGTTTCCCGCTACGGCGCAACTCTTTATAACACGGTTTTCACCGAAAAAAAAAAAAAAAATCCGCCGCTCTTCATAACGCGAACCCTCGACTTCAGTTTAGCTGAGCAGCCAGAAGCGCAGCTTTCAAGCTGACGCTGTCATGTCTGCAAAAGTTCAGCGAGACCGGATATTTCACTCACAGCCTCATGCTATTCGATATATATATATATATATATATATATATATATATATATATATATATATATATATATATATATAATATGCGGGCACACGCAATTACGGCGTGACTAAATGCAGGTAGCTCACTGTTGCCTGGAGTTAGACTACTTTTTGTGTTCTCAAATATTGTTTAATTAGATATGTTTAAATAACTAAGTTCTGAAAGAACGAAGATGGATAAAAGTTTCAATGAGAAAGTTGTAGATCGGTTTGTAAAGCGTCCGATTAGACAGTTTGGACTTTATATCTGCCAGGTATTAGCGTTTTTCTGCTAATTACAAATGCCCGCGAAATACAAAAAAATACCACGTAGCAAACCCGCTCGTGCGCCAGTGCACACAGTGATTCTAGTGCTCCCTAACGTTCCGCGTACGAACGGCCATAGCATTTGCCACATCGTGCTTTCTCAGCAGGGCCGCAACGATGATGGTGGCTTTACGATGAACACGTTTTGCTATCGGCCACAAAAACGGTAACCGCTGTGACTGCTCATCGCTGCCATGAACCGGTGCGAGGGAAGCGTGTCGTTCGTACGCGGAACGTTAGGGAGCGCTAGAATCATCGTGTGCAGTGACGTGCGAGCGGATTTGTCACCTGGTATTTTTTTTGGATTTCGCGGGCATTTGCAATTAGGAGAAAAACCACTAATACGTAACAGATATAAAGTTCAAAACTGTCTAATCGGACGTTCTGCAAACCGATCTACAACTTCCTCATTAATTTTTTTATCCTTCTTCGTTCCCTCAGTTGTTAATTAAACAGATCTAGTTAAACAATATTTGAGAACACAAAAAAATAGTCTAACTCCAGGCAACGGTGAGCAACATGCATTTGGTTGCGTCGTAATTGCGTGTTTCGGCATATTTTAGGGGCGAAGCTCCTTATAGCGGCACCGATTCGTCCCTCGTAGTCGTAGTAGTAGTATGTAACAAGTGTTACATTTGACTTCCAAGGTGGTGCTGGTGGGAGATTTCTTCTGTGCGCGTTGTTGAACAATGAAAAAAAAACGCAGCGTGCGCGTTAACTAAAAGCCGAATGCTCCTGTCTCTCATTTCCCATTAGCAGCCATTGGCATGTACATTGAGCGCTATCTGACAGGAAAAGGTTGCTACGTTATACTCGCTGGGCGTAACCTCCTTGGTTTTAGAAAGGTTTAGCGAGCGTTGGGCCGCAGTGCCATGAATACAGTGAACTAGTATATACCATGAACTCGAGGTGGTTAAAGGTGGGAAGTAGACCTGAAGCGCAAGCCGTAAGAAAGTGTGCGTGTGCCCCCTCTCGTTTAGTCTTTGGAATGTCCACTGAATGGCGGTGCTTCTATATGGGGAATATATGATAAAAAGATGCGTGATGGTGGGACTTGGAGTGTTGAATAGATAGACGAACGAACACACAGACAGATGCATGGATGGATGCATGAACGGACGCAGGGGCGGATGCATGGGCGAACGCAGGGACGGACGCACGCACGGACGGGCGGATGGATCGTTATGATGGAAGCGTTTTGATCGCCATTTTTCACCTACAATATATGCTAATGAATTACAGCTAAAAAGTTTGGCTCTTCGACGCACTTGTGACCGTTTTGTCCTGTTGCATGAGATCGCTCATGGGGAAACATTTATTGATGCACCCATTACCTTCACTAACCCTTCTTCTCGAATCACAAGGCGAAGTCACCACCTTAACATAGCTCCTTTGAAGTCATCCATTGATTCGTTCAAGTTTTCTTTTTTTCCTCACACTATTGATACTTGGAATGGTCTCTCGGGCTCCCTGCGCGAGCTGTCAAACAATGAATTCGTTGAACAATTGCCAAACTTTCTTCACTGATCAGTTGTGTATACTTTCCTGATGTTCTGCCCATTCAGTGTGTATACTTCAGTGTGTATACTGAATGTGTATACTTTTTTGTGTTATATTTAATGCGACTAAATGTGATTTAGTGTGACTTAATGTATTGTATTTTATCTTGGGTTGTACTCACTCGTGCAATATCTTGCTGTGCAATATCTTGCTGTGCAAGATGCAGTACCTGTAAATAATAATAATAATGGATGCATGGACGGTCACACAGACGGACGCATGCACGGACGGAAGCAAGAACGAATGGACGGACGAAGTCTTCGCCCCACTCTCCGCCATTCACTCCGTGGATATGCTGCCAATTTTTTTAAACTCTGGCCAAAGTTACCCGGGACACACTGTGTGGATATATATAGATATATACAAACCTCAAAAAGGGTGTATCTCCTATTTTTTTTTTTGAACATTTCAAGTAAACACTCCGCCTTCAGTTCAGAATGTCACCATGCACGCTAATCGCAAAACGCGGCAGGGCCACGAACCGTGGGTGCACCGCAAAATTAAAAAAAAAAAATTTCGTGCCCTCTCCGGGCATTTCGGTATCCCCAGCGTTGTCGTGACGTCACTACTAGCGTCTGGCGTTGAGAGCAACAGGGACCCGTTTGTGCGCTCGTGGGCACGTGCGGTTGCCACTCTTCCTCTTCGAAAGGTGAAGTGGAAGAGCACATTCGGCCAAAAGAAGAAGAGGAGTCCACAAACGGATCGTAACAAAGCTTGTAGAGCGAAACTATTGTTTTTGGATAATGAAACGCCTGTAGCTCCTCGGCATCGTTTCGAGGAATAGATCCTTTTCAAAATTAACAAACTAGTGGCCGCTATGCACTTACTGAAAAACATTCTGTTCAAGCGCCGATTGCATACGCTATGACGTGGTGAGTTTAGATCGCGCACGATAGACTGCAGGCCCCGGCACATTCAGCTACAGGACCGCGCCTCCCCTTGAAGCACGATAGACGGCGCCATTACTCGTGCAAATATGCAGCGCACTTGCGCATTACGAAAATAGTCTATAAATAGAGCATAATAGACTAAAATAGACCACGCCTAAAATTTGACCTCTGGATGGTCTATGGGCCAGGTAGAGCGTAGCTGCCGAGAAGGTCTGGTTCTCGGTTAATGAGGCTGCAGTAGGGGCTAGTCGGTACGTCTTCGGCGCACCAAACAGGCAGCGCATCAAAACGTAGGGTAATTTTTAAACGATGCTTGTAGAGATACTAAACTTCCGTTTGCTGAAACGTTGCGAACATGACTAGAGACGGCTGACCTTGGGTACACTGTACTCGCGGCTTCAGTAGTGCAGAGCAAGGCTGGTGTACCGCCCCTTTCTCAACGCTTCAAGCTCCATGATAGTTATAGCGCGAGCACAAGACGACGGCACAGAGACAAGAAGGACACGATTCTTGTCTCCGTGTCTTTCGTGTCCTTCTTGTCTCTGTGTCGTCGTTTTGTTCTCGCGCTATAACTATCATAATGCCATACGAACTAGCCCAAGCTGCCACACTTCTAAGCTTCAAGCTCGTCGAGTTTGGTCGCGCTAGTGGCCTCGCCGACTTACCGACTTGCTGAGTCGATGAGGTGTCCGAGCAGAAGAGATGCCTCGCCGAATGGACCGCGCTGGCGCTTGAAGATTGGCTGGCCCAGCACACTGCGCGACATGACACAACCCACTACGGGGTAGGGCCCACCAATCGGACTGCGGTTTGGTAGGAACGAAACAAGACATGTGCCAACTTAGATGTAAGACGGAAAAAAAGGGGCCGTAATACGTTAATGTGTTCATTTGCATCCAGCCGCAGGTATATTTTAGCCCTAGCGTGAAGGAATAGTACGCGGATAAATATTGTTAGTGGGTCTAGTCCATAGTAAAGGAGGAGCGGCGACAACAGCAACAGAGGTAGAAGAAGAAGATTGACGTGCAGTACTGGTAGTTATCGTCCCTATGAGTTTATATGTTCTCTTGGCCAATCCCCCAGAGTGGGTACAAGCCATGGATTAAAGGATACAAACAAACAAACAAACAAGTACTGGCTTGCACTCGCCGTCCAGGTCATTGTAAATAAACCTCGCTTACAATCTCCGTAACAATATATGTCACATCACTCACATGGTACCAACAGCGGGAGTATGACAAGGCATCAAAGTAAGATGAAATCACAAGGATATAAGAATAACCCAGACAGAACAGTCGGTAACGTTTGTTCCAAGCGATTCCGTGAAATGAGCTGTAGGCACCCGGCGATGCAGTTTACGAGTTCTGATGTAGCGCCAGAACACACAGCCTAGCGAGTAGGCGCAGCAAAACCGAGTCTTCCAATGCCTAGCCTAGCGAGTAGACACAGCAAAACCGACCTTGCATGTGCACATCATTTTTTTTTAGTTGTGAGCAAGGGGGTCACGGCCGATTATGTAAGCGCCCAGGAAGCGTTCTTTGAAAACGTGCTAAAAATGACACTGACGCTTCAGCGTGTCACTGTGTTGAGCGAGCGCTCCATTTTCTTAGTATCCCTGGCGGTCGGTACCAACAATGCAAGGCCCAAAAGAGCTTCGTCGCGCCCTCTGGTCCACTGTCGAGTGCCTATGGTATAGAAAGCACGCTTCGTTGATTTGCTGTAAATGAATGCTTCAAATGTAATTGTATTAGGTACTAAGCTTAAGTTCACTCCATTTGTTGAATGGAGCAAACCGCTTGAATTCCTCGTGCAAAAATAAAAAAAAATGAAGGACCGTCAAAAAATTATGACATCACCCCTCTGCGCATTCTGTGGAGAAATGGAATCACTAGATCATTATTTCTTGTATTGTCGCCGCTACGATATACTTAGAAAAAGGTTTCTAGTTATGCCATTTGGGAAAATAGGCCTTAGATTGACGGCGGAAACGGCGCTAAGCTTTGGTGCCTCAGTTTTGAGACATTGCCACAGGGATGCTTTCAATGCCGTTTGCGATTATATTCAGGCAACCAAGCGTATACCTTTGTGATCTTCAATCAAAAAAATTATTTATTACTCCCCAGGGCAGAGTGAAGTAAACGCAGCTGAGTGGTAATCATAACACCTCAAATCTCAAAATTGCTCAACTTGATTTTTTTTTCGTTTGCTCTTTTTATGTTGTTTTTATTTTTACATTAGTCTCATTATAATACCAATTCATTACACATAGTTAAAATGATCACAGAAAAACTGCACAACACTTTCTTGGCCAATCCCCCTGAGTGGGTATGAGCCAACATCCCAGGGAAACAAAACAAAAACAAAACAAATTATGACCGGGAGCTTTCCTCACGTGTCACGTACCCGCTATGGGAAGCGGGGCATTGCTGCCGCGTCGCGGTTGCCAAGGCTACTGAGGGGCCAGTTGCCTCGTCTTTGCGGTGTGTAAGTGAATTCAGGCCACTAAACGTACTTCAACTTAATGAACACTTTATTAATTACCCGAGAAAGAAAGTAATCGGGAAGGAAATTTAAAATGTGATGAAATATATAACACATACATCCCAAATCAATCGGGTTCGGCAAGCTCAGCTGTCTGATTTGGTCCAAAAATCAGATTGTCGTTATCGTAGTAGTGATCATTTTATTTTTTTTTGTTTCTCACCTTCTTGCTCTTCATGTTTGTAATGTTTTATTTCTTTTACAATATTTTTGTTGGTAAGCAATCGTGCATTTACCGTGCATAGGATACTATGTTTTCTTGGCCACTCCCCCGGAATGCGTATGTGCCATGGTATCCAGCCTACAAACAAACAAAAACAAACGAACAAACAAACAAATACCCCCGCAGTATGTATGCGCCACAGTTAATAGGGGAACAAGAAAATAAAAAAAAATTGGCCCGTATCTGCAAGTAATCTGCAAATGTCGTCGAAAGAGGATAGTCTTGTGTGTGGAGAGAGTGAACAAAACATTTATTTGATGTTCTGCGCAAGAAAGTCGGTGAATGGTATTTCGGATGGATGGATGGATGGATGGATATGGCTGTACCCTTTAGATCGGGCGGTGGCTAGCGCCACCAAGCCGTAATATATTGTGAGCGCCCGCATGCGCACTATAGCGTAGCGGCCTATCTAATCGGCAGCGCCACCTGCGGCGCCTTTACTCAGATAAACTCCCAGCCCAAGCGAGGGCCGGGGACACGTTTTATCAATCTCGCTCCCGCCTCCGGCGCGGTCGGCACGTTTTCATGTTCGAATAAAGCGCATTCTTCTCGTTCACAACGCCTCTCAGCCTTCATGCCTAGCCCGCCCAGCCCTCACAACTGGCGCAGTCGACTCCGAACCATGCCTGGAACGTCGCCTTTTGCCCGCCTCGTGAAGTGATCCGCCGGACTAGCCGCGCGGCGCTCCGTCCTGTGTTTACCGTCCGCCGCCCGATACGCCTTTCGGCCGCTTCGTCCGAGTCATTTCGTGCCTTTGCCTTTTGTTTCGCCGACCGTCGTGCTGACGCCCACCCGCCCGATGAAGTAGCTCGCCTGCAGAGCCGAACCAACTTGACCTGCCCGCCTTTTCGTCTCTCGTGAGTCTTGTGCTCCTTCTGCTAATTTCTTGTGAACGCCATGCCGCTTGTGAACTGGAACGAGGCTACGCCTGAGGACCTCGCCGGCTTTACAGCAGACTTCCTCCGTGAAGAGTTGGTTCGCCGAAACTTGGACGCTACGGGGCCGAAGGAAGAAGTGATCAATCGTCTCCTCGCCGATATAGCCCAAAACCGCTCAATGACGCCTTTGTCGCCTTCCCCAGATTCCTCAGCGTCCAGCCAGCGCCCGAACACTACGCCGCTTCCTTCGAGCTTCGATGCAGCCCAAAGTACCGAGTTGCTGACGGGTTTACTTCAACAGCTCCTTCAAGTGTCACAACGCGCTGCAGCGCCAGTTCAGGTCACGACCCTTCCAGACCTGTCCGCATCGCTTCCTACATTTAATGGAGACGGCAGCATTTCAGCGTCCCACTGGATTGAAGAGTTGGAACGAACTCGAAACCTAGCTTCGTGGGAGCCTTCAACCGTACTCGCCGTCGCTCTGGGAAAGCTCCGTGGAGCAGCCGCGGATTGGAAAGCAGTCATTGGCCGTCAGTGTCCCACCTGGGACGCCTTCAGGCAAGCTTTCTTGGATCAATTCAGCGCCAAGCAAACCTTACTACAGTGGCAACAAGCTGTTACTTGTCGCGTGCAAGCGCACGGAGAGAACCTGGTCCACTATTCTTTGGCGAAGTTGAAGCTCATTTCGGGATGCCCAGTCACTCTTACCGACACTCAGCGCATAGAGTACGCCCTTCAGGGCATTTCCGACGAGAACCTGGCCACTACTATAGCAGCACAACGGCCAGAAACCGTCGCCGCCTATATGGACATCGTAACGCAGCTTGACCAAACATTGAGCCACTTGTCTCGTCGACTCCCACGCCCAGGGTATTCAAGCACCAAACTAGTAATGCCAAGCCCACAGGTGCCCCACCACAGTGAAGAGCGCACGAATGTTCAGGCGGTACCAGACAAAACAAGACAGCCGCAGCGAATCGCAGCCCTACCACCAGACCAACAAGAGGCTCGGTACCTGACCATCTCTACGAGGCACGGCGCTCCTGCCTACCGTTCTGGCCAGAACTTGGCCGAAGCCGTGTGTTTTCAATGCCGCCAAAAAGGACATCTAGCTTCAAAGTGCCCATCCAGAGCTACTGTCACACAGTCTACAACGCATCCTTCGCCAGCTCTTCACAGCACACTTTCCGAGACCCTTGATGGATCGCTGGTCCAATGCGCCCTTGTAAACGCCACAATTGCTGGAAGCGGCCAAGTGGACGCATTTCCAGACAGTGGTTCCAAGGTGACACTTGTTTCTCGTCACCTTGTCAGATCTTTGCCCCTCCTGCCCTGGACCAGACCCCCTCTAGTTGTCGTTGGAGGAACGACAGTGGCTCCTGCTGGTGCTATCTGCTTGAAGATCTCTGTGGGACCCATCACCGGTTTGGTGGAAGCCGCCGTCCTCGATAACAATGCCATGCCACTTATATTGGGGGAAGACTGGTTTGCTGCCAGTCACGCACAGTTGGTGTTCCAGCCACCCATGCCAACTGAAATTCGTCATCCCACCACAGGAACAAGTGTGCGGTGCTATGAGCGACTGTTGCCCAGGATGTCGAACGCTGTTATGATCCAGGGGTCATCTTTCAATTACCATGTATCTGGACACCACAGCTCAGCAGGCCTCCAGCGAATGCCACTCCCAGGCCCAGATGAACCCCCGTGGTTAGCACTATCTTGTCAATATGAGGTTTCAAACACCAACGGCCCGTCTTCTGAATGCAGGCGAGGTGCTTCTTCAACAATAGAGGTTTGCATTGACCCATCCTTGCCTGCCGCTCAGGTTGGTAGCCATTTGCCAGCACACCAACAACGGGAAATCACGAGCATTCTTTCGAAGCACGCTGAAGTATTCGCTCGTGAAGAGGATGACTTAGGTCTGTACGAGGGTGTTGAACACTCAATCGACCTTCTTCCCGATGCTGTGCCATACAGTCGATCCCCTTACCGTTACTCGGCTGCAGACCGTCGTTTTCTTGAGGCTCAAATAAGCACACTCCTTCGGCAAGGCATCATTCTACCAGCCTTAGGACCTTGGGCATTCCCCGCAGTGGTTGTCAGCCGAGGTAGCAAGAAGCGCCTTTGTGTTAACTATGTGCCCCTAAACAAGATGACTGTGAACGTCGTGCAACCACTTCCACATGCGGATGACATCATGGATGACATTGCTGGGTCACAGTACTTCGCCTGCCTTGACCTAAAGTTTGCTTACTGGCAAGTTCGCGTTCGTAAGGAAGCACAAGGGAAACGGAAGACAGCATATGATCAGTCCCATCGAGACCACTCCTTCCAAGTCGGCCAGTTCGTCTGGGTGCGCCGCCAAGAGCCTGTAGCAGATGGAACTGGAAAGTTGGCACCCAAATTCAAGGGAATATACCAAATCACCAACCAGAAAACACCCGTTACGTTTGTCGTTAGCCGCGTAACTGGTCAAGGTCCTCGTGATCGACTCCAAGACAGGATAGTGCACGCCTCTCAACTCAAGCACTACGTGCCACCTTATGTCGAGCCTTACATTGTGAAAACCCAAGAGTGGCCTTTGTGTGACTTATCTGGCTCTCCCAGTGTTGGCAATGAGTTATCTCAACCACCAGTTTCCCTTGGCCCTGCAGTTTTGCCTCCAGCGGTACCCTCCTCGCGACCTCACCGCCAAAAGC